CCTGACCCTAGTCCCCTTGGAGACAACCACTCTCCACGCCTGCTCCTCCTTCGCAGGTGTCCTGCTAGGCAGGACACCTACCTGAAGGAGTTCCGTCCTGAGGGCTTCATTTTCCCCCTTTAGAGTGTCAACCTCACTCCTCAACTGCCCCAGCTGCCTTAACAGCGTGGCAAGGAGGTCATCTTTCCCCACACTCCCCTCCTCTTCCCCCACGACACAACGATCCAAAGCGGCCATTTTCCTTGGTCTCGAACGGGAGCGTGATCGGGCACGACCTTCTCCAAGCTGGGTCAGCACAAGAACAAAATATACCATACAGAAAAATTAGGTCAAATAAGAATGAGCCAAGGTGGATGACCAGAAAACTTAAACATGACATAGGAATAAAGAAAGGAATATATAAGAAATTAAAGGGAGGGGAGGAGCAGCTCAGAAATGGGTATCATGAACTATCTAGGAATGTTAAGAAAAATGTAAGGAAAGCAAAGAGAGACTATGAAATCAAAATAGCAAGAGAATCCAAGGCGAAACCCAAGGGATGTTTCCAGGTATATAGGACAAAGGTCAAGGACATAGTTGGGCCTTTAAAGTCAGGGAGGGGAGAAGTGATAAATGGCAGTGTAGAAATAAGCAAAGCATTGAACAGCTACTTCTTATCAGTTTTCACAGAAGAAATTTGCTATGAAATTCCAGAGGTGGAACTGATATTTAAGGGAAAGGAAGAAGAGAAATTAAAGAATATCACTATCAGAAAAGAGGAGTGTTCTTAAGAAGATAAATAAACTGAAGAAAACAAAATCCCCAGGGCAGGATGAAATTTTCCCTCGTGTCTTGAAAGAGTGTAGGGAAAAGATTAGCGGACCCCTCTTAAACTTATTTACAAAATCATTAGACACTGGAGTTGTGCCAGACTTGTGGAAACAGGCAAATGTAGTACCCATATTCAAAAAGGGAGACAGAGCATCAGCGTCAAATTACCGGCCGATCAGTTTGACGTCAGTAGTGGGGAAATTTCTTGAATCAATTATAGCAGATAGCATCAGATCGCATCTAGAGAAAATAAAATTAATCTACGACCCTCAACATGGGTTTACAAAGGGAAAATCTTGTCTAACAAATCTGCTAACGTTTTTTAGGAAAGTCTTCGAGGTAGTAGATAATGACGAAAATTACGATGCTATTTACTTAGACTTTAGCAAAGCATTTGACAGAGTACCGCACCAGAGGCTTCTGAGAAAAATTAAGGCTCATGGTATCGAGGGGAAAGTTTTAAATTAGATAAAATCATGGCTCACCGATAGAATGCAGAGGGTCAGCGTAGATGGTGTTAAATCTGAGTGGGGCCGTGTAACCAGTGGGGTTCCCCAGGGGTCAGTACTAGGCCACTCTTGTTCATAATCTACATAAACGATCTAGATACTGGGATCAGCAGTGACATAAGCAAGTTTGCGGATGACACCAAAATAGGGCGGCAAATTAATTCAGGGCAGGATGCAAATGCATTACAGGAGGATCTAAATAAACTGCAGGGGTGGTCTGAAAAATGGCAAATGAAATTCAACACCATCAAGTGCAGCGTACTTAATATTGGAAGAACAAATACTTATAATGTATACAGAAGTGGACTTGTGAAAGAGACCTAGGGGTACTTGTAAGCCCGGACATATGGCCTAGAAAACAGTGCGTTAATGTTCGAAATAAGGCAAACAGAGTATTGGGTTTTATATCTAGAAGTGCAAGTAACAAGAGTGCAGAGGTTTTATTGCAACTATATCTTGCGCTAGTCAGGCCGCACCACGATTATGCGGTTCAGTTCTGGTGCCCCTATTATAGAATGGATATAAATTCACTAGAGTCGGTGCAGCGAAGAATGACAAAAATGATTCCGGGACTTAGAAACCTTCCATATCAGGATAGGTTAAAGAAACTTAACTTGCATTCCCTAGAAAGACGAAGAGTACGGGGAGATATGATAGAAGTATTTAAGTGGGTGAAAGGAATCAATAAAGGGGATATAGATAAAGTTCTTATAATATCCGAGCAGGATAGGACTTGGAGCAACGGATTCAAGTTGGATAAGTTTAGGTTTAGGAGGGCGATAGGAAGAAACTGGTTCACAAATAGGGTGGTGGACGAGTGGAACAAGCTTAGCAACTTTGTAGTAAGTGCGGGAACTCTGGAAAGTTTCAAAAGGAGGCTAGATAGATTCATGGATGATAGAGAGTGGTAGTAACTCTCGACAGGAGCTGCCATGCATAGGCCAACCGGCCTATTGCAGACTTCTTATTTTCTTATGTTCTTAAGTGTTTTGTCATCAGGCACACCAGTGATGGTGAAGAGGGAGAGACACCTGTTTGCTGACACACCTGTCTGGCCTGTCTCTCCTGTGCTCACCAGCCTTCTCACTATACTTGTCACCATCTTTGTCACTGTCCATAAAATTATTCTCTTGGTAAACGCTCTACAACTAAACGAAAATTATTACTGACGCCGTAACACTTGTTTTATTACAACACCTTTGTATAAGATTTGATCATAGCACAAAGACCATCTTCCTCGAGCAGGGGTTAACCGTTTAAAGGGCAGTGTCCCACTTAGGTATTATATTCTGGTTGACGTCAGAAGATTTTATTCATCTGAGAGTAACCACTGCCACTCAAAGGGTTAACAGCGACACAAAGTGAGATGAACACGAGCCTTCTCCTCACACCTTCAATATAAACACAAACTTTTCCTCTTCCAGTGTTCGTTCACCTGGGCCTCACTTATACTTATCTGGTGGCTGAATGTGGATGAACTTGTTATCCAATAATAACAAGAGTGATTCAGACATCATCAGTGAATTATTACAAGAGAGATAATGTATGAGTGTGTGACTTGTGTTGTATGTTGAGCCGGACGGAGGTATCGTGCAGCAGCGGCAACCATCACCACACACCGAGACAAGTGCAGCATGTTGACGCCTCACAGTCACGTCTCAGCCTCGGAAACACCTCAGTTTATCAACTTAGAATTTCCTGAATTTTGTTTCAAAGACAATATTGCCGTCAAAATCCAAAATGGTCACATTAATGCAGTTAATTTACTTCGATTTTATGTAGCTTTTGTTTGTAGAAATTTCTGACATGAAAAACTAAATTATTTAAACAAGAATACTTAGTAACGTTTAATTTAGCTTATACAGACAAATGTAATACTGTATATTGGCCAGGTTCTCCCTTACACCTACACAGTACTCCTGCACGGTACACCCGCACCTTACACCTTCACGGCACACCTACACGGTACACCTACACGGTACACCTGCACCTTATACTTGCATGGTACACCTTCACGATACACCTGTACCTTACACCTACATGGTACACCTGTTCGGTACACCGGCACCTTACGTCTACATGATACACCTACACGGTACATCTACACCTTACTCCTGCATGGTACACTTGCACCTTACACCTACACACAACACTCATACGTTACACCTGCACTTTACACCTACGCTTTACACCTGCACTTTACACCTACACGGAACATCTACACGGTACACCTACAGGGTACACCTACACGATACACCTGCAGCTTACACCTACATGGTACACCTAGACAGTACACCTAGACGGTACACCTAGACGGTGCACCTACACGCAACATCTGCATGCTACACCTACACGGTACATCTACACGGTGCACCTACATGGTACACCTATGCTGTGCACCTACACGGTACACATACACGGTACATCTAAACACTAAATTGCACTGTAAACTAAAAATAACTGTGAGGTGGGAGTTTCCTTACACACAACATCGCTTGTGACCCTTGTTACCAGCCCACCAACACACACACTCACACATACACACACTTCATCCTTGACCACTGAAGGGTGTCACGTCTGTAACGAGCAGGATGATTGCCCGCCGCTCGTTTCCTTGTTCACGTCCCCTACTTGGTGGGGTAGACGGAGGTGAGAACGTCATTGCCTCCTCGACACACATCAGACACTACCCAGTCGTCAACACAGCTGTACTTGCACCTTGCTGTTCGTTCAAATTCTGTTTGTGTTCTCATCTGAGGTCCTGGACTCGTGGGCTGATTCCCCAGACCTTCACTATACGGTTGTCAATCTCCGGAAACCTGCTCCTGCTACTACCGCGGCTGCCACGTCATCGCCACTTACTCCACGCCTTCTCCACGGTCTGTGCCCTGGCGTCTCTCCTGTGTAGCAAGACATCGCCCGCCGGCGACAAATGAGGAAGCTGCCTTAACATCCCCCTCCCCCCCCCCAAGAGCGGATCACTGCTTTACGGATCTGTCTACCGGGTCACCGCCTTCGGAAATATTGTTGACTCCATTAATTGTTTGACTCCGTCAATTGTTGACTCCATTAATTGTTTGACTCCCGTAATTGATATTTGTGTGAGTGGTGTCAGAGTTTTGTGTTATTTTCATAGTAAAGAGATGTCAATCTCGAACTGATGTTTGTTATCCCTCAGAAAATCATGGTTCTTGACTTTCCTTTTATAAGATCCTAATTTGGCTGGTAAGGGATTCATATCCCTAAGTCCCAGGCCTTTACAAGTGGCGACCTTGCCAGGATAGTCTCTAACCTTGGTATCTGAGGGCTAACATTTGTTCCGTTGCTTTTTGTAAGTCGCCATGTGTGCGCCACTTGCTGTCTGAAGCCCGGAAGTAAGGGTTTTTCTGTGCTTATCCCTTCCTTCTGTTATGGATATTCTGTTGCTCTCCCTTATACTACGGGAAGTTAATTAGTGTTGGTTGGGGTGCACTGTGGATGCTGTCATTAGCATTTTGTTGTTGATTCACCTGGTGCGGTTTCTTTTCCCTAAGGTGATTTAAAGGGACTGGGTGCGAAAGAAGGTTTCCTCCAGCTGGATCAAATCATTCAATGGTTTGATTGAGCCACTAAGTAGCTAATTTTGGCTAGTTGCTGGGTAAGTTGTTTGATTTGTAATTTTTGCTCTTTGCCTTTCGTTTCATGTCTAGTTTTGAGGAGTTGAAAGGTCAAGCAGTGTCCCTGGGTCGGACAGGTGTGGAGGTTGGTCGGTATGTGGTCACCAGAGAGAGAGAGAGAGAGACTCCTCTGGCCCTATACAAAATAATGTAGTAAAACCTAGTTTGCCTGTTTATCGTGAAGGTGACATCGCCTCATACCTTGTTAGGTTTGAACGGGTAGCCGAGCTGCTTGGTGTGGACCAAGATAGCTATGCTGTAAGGTTGGGTAGCCTACTGAGTGGTAAACCGGTACAGATCTATACGTCCCTTTTATCACTAGAGATTACTCTCTGTTGAAGCAAGCTCTCTTGTAAGTGTTTAACCAGGCTTCTGATGGTTATCGTGTTGATTTCAGCAGAACATAGATAGAGCAGGGAAACGTACCAGCAGTTTTCAATCCACCTGGGCCGTTTGTTCCAACAATGGCTAGAGGCGTCAGAGGTTGAGGAAACCTTTGTGTCTCTCACTAACTTCATGAAATTGGGTCAGTTTTTGTCTTCTTTACCGCCAGACTTGAGAATTTTCATCAAGGAACACCGGCCAGCGACGCTTGGAGAAGCTGTAGAACTTGCTGACAACTGGGCGTCCGCTCACAACGCCTACCCCAAGTCTCCCCCTCCAGCTGTGAAGAACACGAAGCCTCCGTCCTCCGAGGAACCATTCACAAGAGTAGAGAAGAGTAGTTCACCAGCCGTTCAGTGCCAAGACTGCGAAGAAGGGCACATTCGTTTTCGCTGTCCAATGAATTCCCTCGCCTTCAATTCTGCCGACATTCATCAGCCCAGCTCCACGATCGGATTCTGTTTGGAAGACAGGAGCTGCCCCCGTTATTGTGTCAGCGGAACAATAAATAGGTCTTGGGCATTTACTTTCATCAGGGACACCGGTTCCTCTTGCATTATTGTCTCTGAGGAAGCCCTGCCTGACGCTGACGTCTCCAGCTGCTCGAAGGTTAGTGTCGCCGATTATTTAGGTCGTGTTGACCAGTTCCCTGTTGTTAGGTGCTATCTGCGTTGCCCGTATTTCATTAGTTGGTCTCATATGGTAAGAGCGCCCATTAAAATCGCTAGCGTTCTCATTGGTAATGTTCCCGGAGTTCGTGACCCTAACCACCCAGAACCTTTAAAACTCTCCTCTCCACCAGCGCCAGTTTCCTTGCCGACGTCGCCTCGCCACCTGCCGACGTCTCCTCGCCACCTGCCGACGTCGCCTCGCCGCCCTCACATGCCACCTTACCTCCAGCAAAGGTCCAAGCTGTGGAGACACGGTCGGCTTAGGTAAAACGAATGCATCCCCTAATTCTGCCGAAATTGTTGCCACTGACTGTTACACCCAAGGAGTTCGCCAACTTCAAGCCTCGGGTACCACTCTGACGCTGGTAAGGGAGAAGGTGACTTTAGGGGAGGAGAATCAGGTTAGAGATGGGTCTGTTTACAAGTTTGTTTGTATTAATGATCTGTTACATAGGACTTGTGTGTCATCCAAGCAACCAGCCAAAGTAGGTTGGTTTCTGCATGCTGTCCCTGCTGATGTAGCAACATTCTCACTATAGCTCACCACAGCCCTCTAGCAGGACACTGTTTGCGTAGAAAGATTTCTATGAAGGTTGCTGTTCAGTTTTACTGGCCAAGTATGGGAGCGGATATTACAGCCTTTTGTAGGAGTTGTGAACATTGACCACGTATGTTCGCCAAGAGTAGAGTTCGTCCTGTTCCAGTTAAGCCCTTATTCATCATTACAGAACCATTTTCTCGGGTAGACAAAGATTTTGTTGGACCATTCTCACCCCTTCCTCTAAGAAGCCTAAATTCTATCAAGCTAATTTATTAAGGAAATATAATTGCAGGACCCACATTGCTCGTGTCCTTGATGACGTTCCCAAGCTGGAGTCAGTCGAAGCACTACCCTGCAATAGTTTCTGTAAAGTTCAGGCGCCAGACTTGGATGTTCTCGGTTGCCAGTTACCGATAACACTGAACGGGATAGAAGAATCCTCTACGACTGGCAATAGGCCCAAACTTAAACCTGGACTGAAGTGGATCCCACGTGCAGTTCCTTGATACTGCCTTACGATATTTGGACATCAAGTTACTCCTTATTCTTTTTAATGTGACCATTCTCTATTTTGCTCTGTATATTCAAACATTTGTTGTAGGATGGTTATGTTTTGTTGTACTAATCTTAAGTTTTAATCTACCTTACAGTAGATTTTTGTTGGGGGAGCTGTGTCAGGGCTGTAACGAGCAGGATGGTGTCCCGGCGCTCGTTTGCTTGTTCGCGTCACCCACTTGGGGTGAGGGGGGTAGACGGAGTTGAGAACGTCACTGCCGCCTCTACACACATCAGACACTACCCAGCCGTCAACACAGCTGTACTTACACCCCGCTGTTCGTTCAAACTTTGGTTGTGTTCTTATGAGGTCTTGGACTCGTGGGCTGATTCCCCAGACCTTCACTTTTCGGCTGTCAATCTCCGGACACCTGCTCCAGCTACTACCGCGGCTGTCACGTCATCGCCACTTCCTCCACGCCCTCTCCACCGTCTGTGCCCGGGCGTGGTTCAAAAATCTGCTACACTGGGTTCATGTATACCAAACATGTCACTCGCAAAAGCAAGTTGTGGTGGAAGTGTGTCAAAAGATCCAGTGGTCACTGTCGGGGCAGTATGACAACAGACCTACAGAGAAAATCCAGCGATAGGTCAGCCTCACAACCATGCCCCAGATGAGAACCAAATCCGTCTTGCCAAAATACGCAACTGGATGAAAGACCAAGCTACCAACACTCGAGACAAGCCAGCTCAGATTTTTAGTTATGCTGTGAGCCAGTGTGATGATGACGTACGCTCACTTATACCCTCTGCTGACATTTGCAAACGAACTCTGCGTAACCAACGGCCTATTCCTCCCCTTGCCTCAGACTCCTTGCTTGTGCTGATACTCTATATATGGATGGCAACTTTGCTATGGCTCCAAATATTTTCAAACATATTTATGTCATCCGTGTGCCTTTCGGTGATACAGTTGTTACTTCAGTGTTCGCTCTTCTTCCAAACAAGACTCGTGCCACCTACGAAGAACTCCTTCAGGCTATAGTTGATAAGTGTGCAGACCTAAACTATTCTATTACTGTGAAAACCGTGGTGACTGACTTTGTAGATGGTGTACTGAGAGCTGTTCTTACAGTGTTTGGCGGCGATGTAGAGAGCAAAGGTTGTTTCTATCATCTTACACAGTCCACTTGGCGTAAGATCCAGGAACTGGGTTTGGGAACACATTATAATACCAATGCTGAGTTTCGTTTGTTTTGTGGCATGATTGATGCTCTAGCTTATTTGCCCCTAGACAACGTTGATGAAGGTATGAGATACCTCAAAACTGTCATTCCACAAGATCCACCTGAAGCCGAGGAGTTGCTCATGTACTTCGATTGTACTTATGTTAGTGGCTCCTTTCGACCGATTCAGCAGCCAGTTGCCATGTCCAGTGATGCCCTGATGCCTCTGAGAATGCGTCATATTCCACCTATGTTTGCCCCCTCACCTATGGAATGTGCATGACGCCACCATGAACAACAATGCTCGTACCAACAACATCTGCGAAGGGTGGAATAATAAATTCTTCATCCTCGTTGGTCACTACCATCCTTCAGTCTGGCGTGTCATTGAATGGTTTCAACGTGAAGAAGCGACGGTGAGCACCATTATCCAGCAGGATGGTGTTGGCAACCCCCCCTCGAAGAAGAGTTCGTCGACGCTATGTGCAGCTACAAGAACGCATTCGCAACTTGTGTGTTGGTCGACGGGAGGACCACAAGACTGTGGCAGAGTTTCTTCGTGGCGTCGGCTGGAATATTCGTCTTAATCATCAGCATTAAAAACACTGAATATACTTGTAATGCCATGATATTCTGTAAGCTTTTTTCAATCTGTACATGTCATGTACTGTCAATAAATGACTGACTTAAATATTTTTGTTTGATTACCTTACTGTGCTTAAGATATTGAACAAAACGTGATTTGTTTTCACATACATGTAATGCCATCATATATAAATAGTGTTGTCAATGTATTGCCAGTTAATAACTGAATTAAAATATTTTCAGTTTTATTACTTTAATTGTTTGTGGTACTTAAATAAACTGTGACTGACTTGAATATTTTTTTTGATTACCTGACTTTCTTTCTTAACCAAAATTGTGACTTTTTTTCTGTGACTTTTTTTCTTGTGCCTTTATTACCGGCCACCATAAATTGACTTTTTTCCTGTGACTTTTTTTTCCTAGCCAAAATTGTGAATTTTTTTCTGTGACTTTTTTTCCTGTGACTTTATTACCGGCCACCGCTGCCTTAACCTCCCCCCCCCCCTCTGCAAGCGGATCATTGCCTTACGGAACCGTTCACCGGGCCACCACCTTAGGAAATATTTCTGTTCATTGTTTGACTCCCCTTAAATGTTGACTCCATTAATTATTTGATCCTGTTAATTGTTTGACTCCTTTAATTGTTTGACTCCCGTAATTGTTATTTGAAATTTGTGTGGGTGGTGTCAGAGTTTTGTGTTATTTTCATAGTAAAGAGAAGTCAATCTCGAACGGTTGTTTGTTATCCCTCAGAAAACCATGGTTCTTGACTTTCCTTTTATAAGATCCTGATTAGGCTGGCAAGGGAGTCATATCCCTAAGTCCCAGGCCTTTACAAAGGGTCAAGACGAACCTCGCGCTCCTCTGGGAGCAGCCAGGTCAACTGTTAAGTTGGCCCATACCAACTCCCTCCCCTGAACCCCTTCTTCCCACCGAAATATCAACAAGGTCTCCCTAGAAGTTACAATTTCATTTAGTAAAGGAATGGAACCAGTGTTGAACAGTGGTGAACAGTGCTTAAATCAGTGAGAACAACTCGACATTAACTGAGTCATACCCAAGTTAACCTTCATACAGTGAGGATCCAGGTACCCAGTGAGATCCAACAACAACTAGCGCTGTGTTAATCCGTCCACGATAGGAAGGCCTGGGACCACACCTCACTCATTTAACGCCATCTGTGAGGGAATTACTACACCACGTCAGGCCCCTCGTAACACCATCTGTGAGGGAATTAATTCACCACATGATGCCCCTCATAACACCATCTGTGAGGGAATTACTACACCACGTTATGTCCCTCATAACACCATCTATGAGGGAATTACTACACCACGTGATGCCCCTCATAACACCATCTGGGAGGGACTTACCACACTACGTGTTTGCTGTTGAAAACCTACATTAATCTGTATGTTCACTGTATGTTCTTTTACCATTCTCTAATGAAGGCCTTTGTTAAACCACCAATGTATGAAATAAGACATTTATGTCCAATGTATATTTTAAGCCTTCGGGAGGCAGAACATTTTCAATAATCCGTTCATTATTATTTTTATTATTATTATTAAACACACACACACACACACACACACACGAATAAGGACGCTTCTCTGTTATTCTCCAAGCTAAAATCTGCTTTTAAGTCTACGGATTTATTGTAATGTTGACTACTTAATTCGGCAGTAAATAGTGTTCCAAAAATCTGATGTTAACCTCTGACAGGCTATCACGTTCTCATATAATAATGTTAACAAAAAGCGTTCCGATATCCTAATGTTAACACACTTAATTATTATTTTACATAAGTGTCATAATTTTAATTGAATCAATTATTTTATGCCGAGTGTAGCTTAAATATGAGTAGAGGGTACCTGACACCACTGAATAATAATAATAAAAATAATGATGATTATAGGAATGATAAAAAGGTCGTTTCTTCCACAGATTATTAACGTCCTAAGTTTTTACAATACATTTTTATACTTGTATGAAAGTAAATAATTTTCTTTACAATAGTGATAACATTTGTTACTCTTCATCTGGGTCAATGTAAGTCATTAACGGTGGCAGGCAGTGCAGCGTGAGGCTATGGCCAAGATCAAATACCTCTTCAGTGACAACAAACATTCGTATGTGGCTGCATGATCGAGTTACACATAAGGTTAAGCAGCATGGTGATTTGGTCAGACAGCACGTCCTCTCCTACGTGATGGTCGTCTGTACACCTGAGGTGTTCACTGGTGTACACGGAGCTGTCCACCAGCCCTCGACGGTACAGTTCTTCACACTCACTGATCCCCGCCAGGTTGAGAGGCACACCAGTGTCCCACCACCACACTCCACCACCAGTCTCTCTGGGGTCCAAATGGTCTCTGTTGGTCCTGGTAGTTTGTTGTATCGCAGTGTTGGTCGTGGGACCCTGGG